GAAACTTCGGCGATCGCCGACGTGTAACACTTCGATGAGAGTGCTGTACGCTGCAGTGATTATTTGCTGGTCGTAGATATCGCCAGTTTGTACGATGTCTATTGCGACCGTTTAGTCTGACTACGGCCCAGGTTAGCAGTAGATGAAGCTTTTACTACTGACGGGAAACTTGTATGGTGCAAAGTGTGGGTCAACTTGTGCGCTCCAAATTATTTTTAAATCGTTTGTATTATTTTTAACATTTGTGTAGGACTTTTTTAATAAATATAATTTTGTATTATAAAAATATGTTTTGTAATTAGTGCATTTTAATATTATATACTGTATCCGATTTGACATAATTCTTTACATATTCTTTTTGTTTTCATATTTATGTACATATTTTGACGTTTCATACCACATATTTGTCCGGTTTCTTCTCATGGCCATATCGATTGGGCCCTAGACGCCTGGAAAACCGTTTCTTGGTCATATGAGTCCCGATTTCAGATGGTAACAGCTGATAGTAGGGTTCGAGAGTGGCGCAGACCCCAGGAAGCCATGGGCCCAAGTTGGGTCAACAAGGTACTGTGCAAGCTGGAGGCGGTTTCATAATGGTGTGGGCTGTTGTTACAAGGAATGGATTGGGTTCCCAACTGAACCGATCATTGACTGGAAATGTTCAGCTTCTTGGAGACCATTTGCAGCCATTCATGTTCCCAAAGAACACTATATTTTTTTATGAATGGCAATACGCCATGTCACCAGATCGCGGGGTTGGCCAGATTGCCCAACATGAATCCTATCGAACATTGATGGTAAATAATAGAGAGGTCAGTTCGTGCACAAAATCCTGCACCGACAACACTGTCACCATGAGGGACGGCTGCAGAGGCAGCTTGGGTCAATATTTCTGCAGGGCACCACGTGTTAGAGGATTTTTCTCTAAATTTAAGTGGATGTGTCCACTTTTTCGTTGCCAGCGCCCTGTAATAAGAGGGTTTTTTTGCCGAAACTTCGCCGTTTCTTCGCGCAGCATTATATAACTTTCCCTCTACTACTTCATCGGTAGCGTGAGAGTAAAAGGAGATATCAACAAATCGGGCGCATATTATTCAATATGAATATAGTGTCTCCTCAAGGTCGGGAGCTGCAAGGAGAGTAGGACACTTATCCATATGGGTCCTTCAGTTCCAAAAATTTAAGTCGCAATGAAACTGCCAGTTGAATAACCGTATCATAGTTGATATCTGCTTAAAGTAGTTATATTGAAATCGGACGATAGTGAAGCTACATTTTTGTACGGAAGCGTAACATCATGCTTTTCTCACCAACTTGACGATCGGACGGAATTTTTGACCTTCGGTTACTATTGATTTGATTGATGGATAGTTCCGGGCCCGTCAACTGCTAAGGTCATTAGTCCCGTAAGAGTAGTTTGTTTTCTCTCAGGAGGTGGAAATGATCTCCCCCCCCCCGGATGGTGAGACCGGAGTCGACCTACCGTCGGCTATTGGGAATTCCTGCAATCCGGTATCTCCCACCAACGGGGCACCGCCAAAGCCTGGTAAAACTCGAAACTCCCGACTGGTCTCCCGGCACGTGTGGTAGTGTAGTGCATGTGTGTGTAAGCAAGGTATGAGGAGAGGACAAGGAAGAGGAAAGTAAGATCGCGCGCGGTCCATGGCCCGTTTGTTATGGTACTGCTCTGGCATTCGCCCGGTGTTGATCGGAGAAATCACCAAGAAAACTAACAGAGCAGCCGGCTGCTACAATTCTCCTCCAGACAGTGGCTTAATTCGACCTAGCTTCCACCTAGTGTCTAAAACCCTGCCACAGTCGAGACTCGAACCTAGGACCCCCTGCTCAGAGGCACTGCAGCGACATCCGTTGATGCCCTGAGCCACCTCTCCCGGTCCTTCGGTCGCGGATTGTCTCGGTCGCGGCTGGGGAGGAAAGCCTGCGTGCCGTGCACGGGCGCCAGGTAAGGTGGGCAGGCGCGCGGCGAAAGCCACCGCCGCTGCCGCTCTCTCTCTCTTTCTCGCGCGCGCGCGCAGCCGAACCCACGCGCAGACGAGGCGGCGAAGGCGCGCTCAAGATAACTCTCTTTGCTTTGAGGGCAGCGTAGCAGTGAAACTTGCAAACCGTTCCCTAACCGAGCCATCGACACTATTGTTTACAGGAGTGGTATCACATTCCCTTGCATTCGTTGTAGCTAGTCTCCTTACTATAAGACTCGGATGGAGGTACGAAGTGTGAGATAAATTGCAGTGAAAGGCTGTCAGTACGGAAGGAGGCATTTTTGAGTAGGCGGTGTTTTGAGATATACAAGAAGATACGTTTGTCTCGACGGGTTCATTTTCGAATGAATGTTTGTTCATACGGTACCTCAGCGTTAAATTAACTACGCATATTTGTGACTCTGTAAGTTGTGACTTTGTAAGCATATGACAGGAAGCTGTTTTGTCAGTGAATTTCAGATGTTAGCCCTCGCACCTCCTTAGCATTCGAATAGTAATTCGAACCTGTATAACTTTCGAAATATTCGTCGTTTAGCTGATAGAGCGTTCCTCGCGGCGAAGCTGCACATTGCGAGAGGAAGGGGGCGTGGCTCAGTGCTTAGCGATCATGTCTAGTTGCTCAATCCTCTTGGCTCTTGGCAAGTAGCTTCTAGTAAGTGACTCACGGATGTTCATGGAGAAGCGAAACGTCTCCAGTTGTACCCAAGGCTAAAGCCGAAAGTTCGCGATTTTATCCGATGAAAATTGGGTAAACTAATGAGCAGTCTTACCCGAGTCCAGAGTCCGAGTCGTAGCCAGTATTCTCACATAATGTTACGCGTAACAACAATAGATTACCGCCATCAGTTGAAAGTGAAGGAAGCATTAAAAGTTCATTTATTTCACATCCTCTTAATATATTGCTCTTTGTGTGTTCCTTCCTTTCTAGTAAAGACTATTTGCATTAACTTCACCATTATTTTTGTTGGAAAATGTATATTTTGCGATCTGAATGTGTACCAAACTATTCTTTTTTTTTTTTTTTTTCAGGAGCAACTGATTAAAACATATCGAAAGCCATATAATGCATTTTCATTGGTGAAAAGCTTCAACATTTTCTCAGATGATAATTTTATTTTATCCAGTGTTAAAATGAAATTAATATTGTTTGATCTTGCGTATATTATAGATATGCCCTGAAAATTTGAAATATATTAAGAATTTGCTTCAAACTGTATTGAAATGAATTGTGGAGTTAATACATTTTGACATCATGGTCTATGTATTGAAAGTCACAGGCTAGGAACAACTTTTTGTTCCCAAATGTAGCTACACGAGCTACTTTTAACTTTCACTTTTTCAGGGCATTTCAGGTTTCATCCAGTCTGACTTCTCATATGAGCGGTTGCAATATGATACTTCAAATGAATTCAAGAGTGGATTTAGACTAACGATACGAAAGAGATTACAACTTTCATCCTGCAATATTTTAACTGAAAATGTTAATTACTTAATAGAGCGCATTTTCTCTGAACACATGCAAAATATTTATATTTTAACGTGTAGAAAACACCTATTAATGTGAGAACTGTGCATGTATCTACTGTATTTTGGGCTCCATTAAATAAATTTTAGCACATAAAATTACATATTTTCGTTTCCTTAGGAAATCAGATTTTTAAACAGACAGGCAGGTGAAGTCCGTGTATTTTATCTTTTTAAGAAACATAAACCGTATAATTTTCGTACAGAATATTTTAAACATATTTGAGAACAGTTTTCTAGCGATCGAATTTCGATCAAAAATGAAAGAAGGACCCTATTGAATGTAATTATGGTTTTATAACTTTGCTTTGCTTACTATTAATAATTAGTGAAGTGTTACTGCTACTTGAGCCAGTGATCCATCTGTATAGTTTCTCGAGGAGATTAACAGTGGAACAACTGGCGGCAACATTTCAATATGCAAAGTTGCCAACACATGGTGTATGTGATTTGTCGCGTTACAAATCCACATACCGACCCAACCGTTGTTTTACAAGCACATTTCCAAATATTTGCTCATATATTTATAAATATTATGAGTTTAACTACATAAAATTCCGCCCTCTAATGACTATGAACTTCATTTGCGTGCAAAGTTTTATCTATCGTTAACATACTTTACATTTTGTTACATACATATACAAGCAATACTCCCAACATAAAATTATATTACACATTTTATTTTTCGTTATATTATTAAACTCATATAACACAAAATGAGTGTGGAATACATATTGAAACATTTCTATGTGTAAAGGGCACTTAGTTCGTAGGGTCTGTATGTAGATAGGGCCGGCGGGGTATTATTTTCTGAGATGTGCAAAAAACAATGAGTGCGGTTGTAGTGTTAAAACATGGAAATAAATATACGCGTAAATATACTTTCAAATACATTACATATTAATTCCTTCTCTCAGTGTATGTTAAGCAATATTCGAAATTCTCTGGATCACAGACTCACGAAAGCTTTCGAGTGCGAGACGCTGGTGCGGCACACGTAAACTCAAAATGACGCGGAAATTATTTTATTCAGAAATATTATAAATAATAAAAATGTGCATTAATAATAAAATGTGAATCGATAAAAAAATTAAGTACGGATGCAACAGATGGAACTACGTACTAAACAAATTCTCAAGTATTAAAAATTATAGCAGCTCGTGGTGCGAATTGACAGCGGGGAAAGAAATATCGGGGACCGGCCCTAACTATAATAGGGAGCCTGATGTTCCTTGCTGGAAAAGTATTATTATGACCCTGCCAGGAACCTACAGAAGTTAGCTTCATTTACGATTTCCACACTTTGGAACGGTAAAGTCAAAGAAACTGGAAAAGAAAACTTTCCAAAGAACATTCTTTAAAAAAAATATATCCAGACGATGCTGCGTTGGCGAAGACTATCTTCGGTTCACTCGTCTCCGCCGGAAGAAAACTGCCCGTTCGTTGTTTAATAGTGCTCCGCAATCACACGCTTACCTTTCGCTGGCGAGGACGACGGGCGGGCGGCGGGCCGTGGCAGGCCTGTGTCGGCGGACAGAGTGCGTCGGATTCTCGGCGCCGCGCGTGCCTCGTCCCCGCCCGCCCCCGTCCTCCCCGCCTCGCTCCGCCCCGCCCCAGCCTCTCCTTCCGCACGCGCCTTCCGCTATGCCTCGCCCATTTCACTTCGAGCCCCGGAAACGCAGCCTTGCTCTGACGTGGCGTATTAACAAATGAAATCAGAATAATTGTGATGGCATGATAGTAAACGACCAAATCAACTCCAAAGCTTACAGGAAGGCATACCATATTTACTCGCTTGTCCCCGTTTTCATTTACATTACAGTTCCTAGTATTAAGGAAAGGGGTCTGTGAAAAAATTAGAACATTAAAAATTGTTATAATCCTACCTCTTGAGTATTACAATAAGGTGCTACGAAATAATATTGTACAGGGTTTTATCCACTTGTGAACATTTCAATTTATTATATTGATTATTCATCCTGCGAAAGGTGACAGACTGATGCTGGTTGAAGTTACTAGGAGGTTATGGAATATTAGAACACTTTGGATCTAATGATTCTTATTATGAAACTGAATTCAGTTTTGTTAAGTTTAATTTTAGGTAAATCTAAGTGGAAAAAACATTTTTAGAACTATTTGAAGAAGTATACAAAGTTTGAGTTAGGATTATTGAAGTACTGTACACCAAATTGGTGTTTGGAAACTGATTGTATCTAATGAATTCCCATTTCCTCACTGGCACCGTCAATCACAGGTATTGCCACTGCGTTCTGAATCATTAAATCTTTAAATTCTTATCATGTATCATCTGCCACAGCGCAATCTCCGTGCGCAAATGTAATGCCGCATTTCTTAACATCACCTTACTGAAAAAATGAAACTGTTTATTTATCTTTCACATTTCACCGTCGACCTTATAATTTTGAAATGAGAGAGGAGGTTGTGTAGAGGAGAAAACCTTACCAATGCCCTTGCAGCGACGTAGGAAAATCATAGCCTATTGTTTATGGGTACACTGACCAGACTTCCCCTTTTCGGGAGGACAGTCCTTTTGCGCAGCTCTTCCTTCCAAAATATGTGGGTAGAGACGCCCAAATATTCTACAGCGTAGATTGAAAATTTAATGTCTCGTTTTTCCGTAATATTTAGATATGTGGTTTCAAAATTTCAAGGACTTAGACATTGTCCTATGGGCTTCATTGAAACTTGTTCCCACACGGTCTGAGGTTGAATAGAGGAGTGAATCCATAACCAGGCAAGGGTTCGTTAACATGTATAAAGACACGGAATTATTTGATGAATTTGTATGTTTAACAAGATAGGTAACTCCAGGAAAAACCGTCTGTGCAAGAGGTTGGGGACTTAGGGACTTGTAATGAAGGTAAAGGACGTTCAAAAAAATGTGTTCACTTGAAGGACAATAATGTCGGGCATCAACATCTTTCGTCAGTCATTCAGTTCATCTTTGTCCTACCAGGTTCAAATCTGAAAGGCTCATCTCCCAAGTTAAGGAAATTTGAACAGTAGAAAAATACATTTACAGATAAAACCTCTGAATCCATTATGATTATCCAATAAATTTGTAATGTTATATTCATAATTAAATGTGGATAATCATAAGTATTATACACATTACATTTTCTATAAGCAGTGTGAACACATTTTGTGATAAATAACGCACTACCAGTTCCACACAATATATCTATAATTGTATTTTAATTTCGTATCTATTCTGTGGTCCTAAGCCTAATTTAGGTAATACGTAGGTTAGTCGATACGTGTCCCTCTTCGATCAAAAATATTTGGTCAACGGGTATCGACGGTTATGGGTTATGATGGTTCTAATACCTATTGTGCGCCAGGAAAGTCCGCTCCGAGGCAAATAAGGGCCTCCTGTTAAAAGTTGCATTTATGTTCGTAGCACTGGAAAGCAAGTGAAGAGGACATCATTTCCATCATCTGTTATGATGTGGTGAGTGCAGTATTTACGTTTTCTTTTGATATAAGCCGCATCTCGTGCTACCAACACAATGTTACACGCACTCTCACAAGCAAGGTGTCGCTGCGGAGAGATTTTCGTGGCGCACTGTATTATAATGGCCTAGGCATAAGCCTGAATTGCTTCGTTCGTGTCGTGTCGTGTCGTTCTCGCCATAACACTAGTTAAAACAGAATATTTGAAACAGTGTTCGAAGCAAAAACAAATAACTCTAGAACACTCGTTGCCGTCCCGCGTACTTTTCTTCTCCAGCATCTTTCTGAGCTGCGTAAGACAGTCTAAGTTTGAACTGGGGTAAAACGAACATTAATGGGATTGCGATCAATACGATAGGAAATTCTCTGATTTTTTTTAAGATTTAGCTGATTTTTTAAGGCCATTAAATTACAAATCTATTTTTTTAAATTGTACTGGTCTGTTTTAAATGCCATTTATTTTCAAAATACCTTTCACACCGACCCACAGAGCCTTTTGAAAACATAACTAAATACCATAAAGTGCCTGGAGTAAACTTTGTTTCTTTTGGTGACTTCAGGTCTCGAATTTGGTAGCGAAGGGCTGGGTTGGCCTTTTGTGCACCGTAAGAAGATTCTCTTCGAATTGATGTTAGCGAAATGAGTTTTGCTTCGGCCTTATCCTAAGTTCTCCCATATTGATAACGCATCTTAAAATGAATAAAAGTGCTCAAGAAACACGACGCACGGAAGACCGCCGTTTCTCTCGCAATTTCATAATAGTTCGCCTGGTTTGGCCAGAAGGAGATTCTCCGAATGCAGCGATAAGTCAGAATGATTATCTCCGAACAAACAAATAGGAACGCTGCGCCTAGGTAAGTAAGCGAAAACGGCGGCGAGGTGTCAATACTTCTCGTATTACCTCTTTAAAAAACAATTTAGTAAAGAAATGTAAGCAAATAATAATAATAATAATAATAATAATAATGTTATAATTATAATGATTAATTTTATTATATTCGGTAGAAATATCATTCTACAATTGGTCCGGTGACGAAAACAGAAATATAAATAATATATTTTAAAAATATAATGTAATTATTATTGTTTTTAAAAATAAAAGTAACAACTCACAAATTTTACTAAATTAATTGATTATGCGTCAGGACAATTGTGAACCTTTTTTTGTTTATCAATACATATATTAGTATTTTGTATATTTTTCAAAATCCAGAAGACCTCATTGTTCCTTTCCTTGAAAATGAACTCAGGCCTCTATCAGTCTTCACCTCTTGCGTGTTCAACTTGCTAGACTTCAAGGCCCATAACTAAAGCCTTTAATATGGTTGCGGGCCATATTATCATTACTTGGGCGATCCACACCTGACTTCCACGTAATGTTGATCTCGGAACTTCGCCCAGCTGCTCTGAAACGGCGGGGGGGAATGACAGAACCATGCGTTTAATCAGGCCGTACCGTTCATAACGCAGTGGAACACATTGGGTTGATTTTGAATTTCCGAATTTGCTAGAAAAAAAATCCTTAAATCTATACTTCACATGTTTTTACCTTAAAGGGGCTGTTGACCCCGGCAGTGCGCATGCCCTAGACGAATTATGTTCTCGATCGGCATAAATACTCGAGACTTTTTACTTTTAACTAATAACCTTTCGCGGGCCACAATAAAAGGCAGTGCGGGCCTCCATTTGGACACCCCTGCTCGAAGTTAAGCCACCGCGTCGCGGTGGCGGGCGGGGGGCTCCGCCCTGCCCCGCGTTGCGCCGCTGCCTCGCTGCTGCGCCCGGCGGTAGCATGTGACGGCGGCCGTTGCGTAGCCATGCGTGACTATGCGTCAGACAAGGACACCTGCGTAGATAGGACTCCAGCCGACGCCCAGCCGCCCGAACTGATTCGGACCGGCCCACAGTGGGTTGTAGCATGCGCTTGGGGCGCAAAATTATAAATTCGGGGTCATTTTTTTTTCAACATATTTTAGAGATCCATGTTAAGGTTTCACTTAAGGTTGACGTTAGTGATTATTCTGTTTCCGGGAGCGTGAATTGCTATGGTCATTAGTCCCGTAAGTGAACTTCATGTTCTTTATCTCGGGAGGTTCTTCCCCGCTGGATGGTGAGATCCTTCGCCACCCTACAAGTTGGCTTGCGAGTTTTTTTTCATCCAGCTATCTCCCACCAGGGGGAAACCGCCCCAACAAGGATAAGCTCTAAGCTCCCGACCGGTCTCTCGTCGTGCGTGGTTGTGTAGTGCTTGTTAGTGGGTGTGTGTAAGGTAATGAAGGAGAGATTGCGCGCCCCCTGGCCCGTTTGTTAGGGTACTAATCCGAAATTCGCCTGATGTTGATCGGAGAAACCACGTATAACTACCGATCAGGGCAGCCGATCACTAGAATTCTCTTCCAGGCAGCTCGGCTGAATTCGATCCAGCTCTCTAGCTGGTATCGAAACTCCTGACACGCATCTTGAGGCTCGAACCCTAAGATTCCCGATCAGAGGCACTGCAGTGACATCAGTTGATGGCCTAAACTACCTCAGCCGGTTGTTCGCTTTGAATTAAAGTTGACTTTAATGATTATATACAATTATAAAATCAAAGTTTGCAAAGGAAAACATCAACATTATTAAGAATATTACAATTACTAACTCGAAAATGTACTGAAAAATAGTACTTAAAATATTAGGTTTTTGTAATTTTCATCGACTTATTATCATTCATAAATTTTCTCAAAAGCATTAAAGGCACAAAAAGTAAGTTTTTTCTATGAAAAAGAATTTTAGGCTCGTATACGATTCATATTACATTCAATATACTTTTAGTTTGGCGTGATATAGCAACATTGTACTTTTTGAAATGGTACTTTTTTCGTAATATGACAAAACCATTGTAATTTTTAAAGCAAAAGTGAATTCAGATGCCAACGACACAATATGCATTATTACATGTAAAAGAATCAACATAAATATTTGCTCCTAAGGATGGCAACTTAAATTTGTCAAGAGGATTTCACTCACCCACGCTAGCGATTGATAATAAAATAATGATTCGTTTTTTTATTTTTATTACTTCATAATTTATTGCACAACTTAAAAAACAGTAAAATATCGAATTATAAAAATGAGTTAACAAGAAATTTTAAATTCCGAATTTCCA